GAGAGACGCTATTGAATGAATGTAAACGGGGGCGTATGCTTGTTATTTGATTTTCTGTTGATTTTCGCTCGCTGCCTGGCATATATTTTCTTTAATAATTTCCTGTTATAAACAAATCAAGGATGTAATAACGCAGTTCAATGCGTAAATGTTGCCGTCCTCCAGCTTGAGCCCCTTCCAGCTGCTTCAAAATAAAATGCCACTGATTATGATCTTAAGAGCCATCACAGACCGTAATGGCCGGCAAAAAAAAAAAAAAAACCTGAACTTTTCAAACGACGTGGAGCCACAAATACACAGATATATATACATAGTACGAGTAGTGCAGAAGCCCGGCCCAGGGACTAGATACACACACAGACCCACATAAGCAAAGGCATCCACAAGGCCTAAGCCCATTAGCTCACTGCCGTTGAACCTTTTTCCTACCCCGTTAATCGTACACCAAATGGGTATATTGTATTTATGGAAATAAGTTCAGTTCTTCAGATGATATGCATAGGGATATCAGGATAATTTAAAAGCCATTTGTGGCCATCAAATATAGAGCATATTTTGGTGTAAGTTTGCTTTCTGTTCCCATCTTTATTGATGTCCCTCTCTCTTCTTTCAATGGCAATAAACCTTACTGCTGGGTATCGTTTTGTCGGAATACCCGACAGACTCTTAATTCGTTTGGTTTGGTACTCTAACATTTCGTTGCCTTCTTTTGCATGAAAATGCTACCCAAAAAAATGTAAAATACTTCAGCTAACGTAAAGGGCTACACACAGCACATAAACATGCACATCTAGGATCTGGGATGGCAAATGTAAGTACAGAAGCAGCAGCAAGAACAACAACCAGACTGAAGGCAGAGCAAGTCAAGTGTATGAAATGTAACAAAGACCTAACGAGAATTACAGCCTCACATACGCACACTCACAGGCATGCACACACCCACACATGCAAAAAGATATTCAGAGCCTGCACGATGTACGAAATAATGAGAAAATATCAAAAGTGCCCAGGCTCACGCACACTTTGGCCCCGTCCGAGCCTCAATGTCAACTTAAGGCCCTGCCAGTCTTGCCGTGCCGTGCCTTGCCTTGCCTTGCCGCTGGCCAGGGCATTGAGGATGGAAATAGGCATTGGAAGGGGCGACTATTTACCACCGTCGAAGGGTGACTGTGACAGGGTCGAGATGGTTTCCACTCTGCAGTTTTTCTCTTAATTTCCTTTAAAGTGCCTGGCAAAAACTGACGCTAATGAGCTACTTAGGCAATGACTTAAGTCGTTATTGTGCGGGCGGTCGGATGGCTGGGCTGGGCTGGGCTGGGCGTGTCGCATATCATGTCATTACATTACACATACGCACCATTGTCCCGGCTACACATTTGCGGGAGGCAATTTGAGCCGACGAAAACGAAACTGCAGCAAGAGCCTAATTGCCTTGACACTGCCACAAAAGCTGCTCCTTCGCTCTTCGGTTTCGGTTTTTGTTTCAACTACTTTGATTTTGGGCAAAACTTTCGGATACGCCTCCGGATTTGATGAAAGTTCCTTTGGGCCGAAAACCCGATTGTTGCGCCATTGTGCGAGTTGAGTTGTGTCGGCCTTTTGTCCGGAAAATGCCGGAAAATGGTATATAATATTCGATTAATATTTCAATAAAGTGTTTGCCCCTTTACGGATTATAATAATAAGGTCCATTGTGGACAGTGCTTGCTTGTCCGACCCGACCCTTTGGCGCCGACCACAAAGGACCTCATTGCAGCACAATGGGACGTGCTCCGGCACAGCTTGAGTTTTGTTTGCATTGTGAGCGAATGGTGGAATCAGCGCATTGAATAATGTACGAGTAGTTATCACGAATTAGAAACTCTTCTCCGCCAGTTACGGAGCCACTCTGGAAGCGTCCTTTTATGCACATGTATGTGTGCTCGTATACACTCGTATATTTTGTAGATTAGTTGCCCAAAATGAGGCACTTCCATGGCCAAATTGCACTCATTTGGGCGCTGACGAACAATGGGGTCTGATTTACATGCCACGGGGGTCGCTCACCGCAGGCAGGCTTTATTAGGAAAACCAAAAATAGCACGCACTCGCAGTAGAACTGCGACTCCTACTGGCACTCGCCCACGCACAATAAGAGACGCCTCATTAGGCTGCGCATTAATCAGGGAGCGAAAACTTTCACCGCTTTCCCTGCGGGCGCCAGCTGATGCTGATGTCAATTAAATGCCCCCCCATCAAAATATTTCCACCCACACATACATAGCACACGCACATATGGTAAGCAACCCCTTTGTTTTTGCACTCTTCCTCCCCATAAATAGTTCGATGGCTAGACAATGTCGAGAGCAGAGGCCTCTCCTCTCTCTCTTGGCTGAGCAAAATCAGCGTCAGCGCTCTCTAAAATGTTCTTTTATTAATTAAATCGAGCAGGCAAGTGTCGAATCAGCGCATGGCTGTGCACCACCACCTCCTACGGTCCTCTGTCTATTCACATGACACCAAAAACTTGTCTATGCTCTTACAGTTGGTACTATGATTGTGTGCCAGTCATCGAAAGAGTGTTTTCCGTGCAATTCGCGCAACAAGTCTTGGAATACCCACTTAAATATAACACTTAGTGAATATTGAGAAGAGTATCTAACGCTGCGACCTTTATGGCAGCTTCCCCTTTTCTTTTTTTGCTTTGCTGGTGTGCGGCTTGTATTGCGGTTCAATGTGCCGCCGCGCGACAACGGCGACGACGACGACCTACAACAATTTTGTACATGTCAACATGGTGTCATAATTAAAATGTTCACCAGGCCATGCCACTCTCCCAGCGAACACCAGCGAACACCTCCGTCCCCCTGCCGACCGCACTTCCCACGGGTCATTCGATTCGGCTGCAAATTGGAGATTTTTGATGGCAGCGGCAGCCCTGAACAAAGGCTAATGCCGACAGGCATTTCCTTTCCCGAAATCAACCGTCTGCTCTCCCCTGTTGGGCTGGGGGACAATTTAAATGATTGGTCGAGCGACGGGGTCGGCCAGGGAGATGCATAGATACGAGTATCCGTGTCGATATGGCTAGTTAGCTGATTGGTTTTGGGCGGTTTGTTGGACAAAAGGGGCGGCAAGCTAATTTGGGCTTTGCCTCTAAATGAGATAAATGATTGAATGTGGCGGGTGTGGGGGGAGTGGGTGGTGTGGGTGGTGTGGGTGCTGTTCGAGGTGGCAGGTAATCCATCCCCTTTGGGCGCTGGTCAAACACACTAATTTCAGTTTATATGCAAAGTTGGCCATCGAAATTATAAATTGTCATTCGGATGGTGGTTTGGTTTTACACAAACATGGCTGTTCATTACGCCTTAAGGCTGCCAACAAGCTGGGCCCGAGCTCACTCCCGCAAACGCAACTTTATCCGGGCCACTTAGGCTTGATTAATGTGCCAGCATTTGCCGGCCGGCCGGCCGTCCTGTGATGCCCAGAGAACAGACCAGTCCATGGGCCATCCCATATCTGGCCGTAAATAAAAAAAAAATTCAACAACAGCCTCCCTGTCCGTATCCCCCTCCCCGCCAGCACGGCATTTTATTGTCTCAAGGTTAATTTGAATGGCAAACTTTACGTAAGCATTCTGCTTTATAAAGATACTTTATTTTTTGCCCGCCGACGCCACTCTATTATTATTTTTGCTTCTCTACAGATACTTTGCTTCTTCATTCACTGTCCATTGTCCAGTGTCCAATGTCCAATGAGAGTGTGTGTGGCGGTAACAGAACAGCAGCAACAACATATACACAACAAAAAAAATTAATCAAAAATTCTGGAGACAGGCGAGATTCAGATACAGATACGGATACTCCAGAGGGGAATGCCACGGGCTATTTGCATTTTCCATTTTGCTGGCTCACTCTCTCTCTCTCCCTGTCTCTCTCACTGTCTCACTGTCTTTCTTTATTGTGCCACGCATTTATCATGATTGCAATAAATAATATTGTGGTTTAACCCAACACTGACCAGGGGACAGGGCGAAATATTTTATTTTATTTTTTACGTACTTTTTTGTGGCACCGAAATTCCCGTTTAAACGCTTTAAACGCTTGGAATTTCGCTAGTCTGGTTTTAAGCGAAATTCCTCGGGGGGCGGCAGAGGGTCAGTCACTCTGATTGAACGTTCGCCTGTTCCGTCCTGTCTGTCTGACTGACTGACTGACTGAGTGCATCGATTCGTTTGAGAGACGTTTTCAATTTGTGGCACAATTTAAAGAATTTTCCCAAAAACAGAACAGCGCCAAAATGGCTCCAAGCTGACCCAGTCGGACTTTATACCTTCCAAGAAGCACTTCTAGAGCGGTTCTTTTTCCTGCAAGCACCAGTGATTTATACATGACGTTTTGGTTTCCAAATTACACAGGGTGAAACACGCCAGCACCGGTACATTTGGAAGTAGGTAGGAACCGTTCCTTTAGAACGCATTGGGAACTGGTGGTTGTTGTAATTTCAACTTCGTGAAACGCTCGGGTTTCGCTTCCAGTTGTACTTTCCGAAAGAAGCATTACAGAACACATATTTGGCATGCATCGAGAATCGTTCCATAGGAACCTATTAAGAACCGTTCTGGAACTGTTCCAATGCAATCATTCCTTATCACATCCCTGGAATGTATCAAGAACCGTTCCTTGAGAAGGTATGCAGCATGCATGAAAGAGCGTTCTAAAAGAACGCGAGATTAACCCATAAATACAAAAACTATAAATTTTTTCGAATTTGATTTATTTAATATTTTCTTTACTAAAATATAATACAAAAAATAATAAAAAAAAGAAAAAATAAAAAACAACGAAAAAAATTTAAGAAAAAAATAAAACTGAAAAAAGATAAAAAAAGAAATGAAAAAAAAATAAAAGAAAATTAATTATAATAATAATAAAATAAAAAAAATTAAATAATTGCCGTCGTCGTCTATGAGGAAATCCTTGTCGTGGTTGTAGTTGTTGTTTTTCTCGGGATGTTGTTGCCGTCGTTCCTGTCGGTGTTTCCTTGCAAGGCAGGAGACCGAGTAAATGCGATTCTTTCCTTTGGAGAATGCCGTCCTTATCAAAACGAAATTTGTTATTGTTTTATTAATTTTGGCAAAAGTTTATTAATTTCAAATACAATTTTTTAATGTTTATGTCCACCCTAATCAGTTCATTAAAAATACGAACAAGGTCCACCCTAAATAAATTTCACTGCATGAACATCGTGAACATTGAAACATCTCTCTACTTGTATCAACATATATTTACACCACTATTAATACTTACAGTGCGTTTAGTTCTCCTTAGTTTGAAGAACTTATGTATATCGCATTCCATCGTTGAGGTTATGTTCATGTGCATGTACATGTTCAAAGAGAAATATGTATATTATGCATTATTTATTGTTTATTTTAATATTCTTAGGGTGCAGGCCGAACTGCCACAACAATCTGCCAATACTTACGTGGTAAAATAAACGGTTTTAGGCACTTAAGTTTCACTTTTTCACAATTGTTGGCAGAGGGCACAGATAAACGCACAATTTTCACCGGCTTCAAAACGCAAGTGATGAAATAAAAGAAGTCGAGAAAAAACCGCGTGCGTTCTTGCATGTTCCCTTTTGTTATTTTTTTGTTGTCCTACCGCTTTACCGAGGGTACGAATTTGTCTTCAAAAACATTCTTTATGCCTTCTAATAAAACCAAAAAAACCCCCCACCCCAAACTCTCCCCCCCCCCCCTTTTTTTTTTTCCCCGTCTTTTTTCTTTTTTACCCCCCTCCCCCAACGACCAAACCGCTCCGAAAAAAATTTTTTTTTTTTTTTTTTTTTCTGTGCAAAAATATGCATGATAGAACCATTCTTTGTGGAATCGGTTCCACTAAGCCTGCCAGGGAAGTAGGGAAGAACCAGTACTATGTTGCAACCACTTCTACAAGGTCCGACTGGGGAATGCTGGCAAGACAGGCGTGCGGCAGTTTGTGGCAGCTACTGACGGGATGTTGTGTGGCCCTTGCCAAGGAATTTCTCTTGTGAATTTTCCAGCTAGTTTGTTACGCTTTTCCCCTGCCACAGAGACAAGCTCATGCATGTATCTTTTGGCTGCTTCGCTGTTTTCCTACCCCCCACCACATATTCAAATTCGAAATTCAACAACTGGCAGACGCGCATGATAATGCGCATATTTCTATGGATTATGGCCTACTTTTTGGGGTAGGCTCTCACTCCGTTTGTGAGGCGGAGTGGGTGTGTAGCGGGAGACATGGGTGCAGAATTAGACACAGTCGGGGAATGTACCCGCCCGCCCGCCCACTCATATGCATAAATATCTCAGCCTTTATTCTCTGCGTGACTTTCGACAACGACCCCAAACCCGGCACCGAACGATCTGACAATTGTTCCAAATTTGCATAGAAAGAGGCCCGCAATTTCTGCACTTTGCATATTTCTAACCGCCGTTCAGCTACATTTGAGCTACACGCTTTGACTCGTACGCTTTATTGTTTGCAAATACAAGTGCTCATCCCCCATCCCCATCCCCCATCATCCATCCCCAAGCCGCATTCCTCATCAGTAGAACCGTTCCGAGTACCAGAGTACCAGTACACCACACAATTGCCATCAATTGGCGTCAATTTCGCATTGAATATGGCTTCACTTACCATACACTTGGGCAGCGGTCCCTCGGGCATCTTTACCTTCCACCCCAGCAGCGGTGGGATGCAGATGAGTGCCGACATAATCCACACCGCCGTAATCATGACAGCGGCACGGGCCGGCGTCCGCGACTTGAGATAGTCGACGGCCTTGGTGATGCTCCAGTAGCGATCCAGCGAGATGAGACAGAGATTCATGATCGAGGCGGTGCAGAGCAGCACGTCCATGGCCGAGTGGATGTCGCACCACCAGCTGCCGAAGATCCAGTAGCCCATCAGCTCGTTAGCCAGCGAAAAGGGCATTATGATGAGGCCCAGAAAGAAGTCGGCCACGGCCAGCGAGGCGATGAACCAGTTCTGTATGTTCTTCAGCGACTTCTCCGTGGCAATGGCGATGATCACCAGCATGTTGCCCACCACAATGATGATCATCAGTATGGTGACAATGATCGAGGCAATCACTATGTGGGTGAGCGTGTAACCGCTCGGATAGCGTCCGTCCCAGTGCACTTCCGTGACATTGCTGCCATTGCCCATGAGTCCGTAGCCGCCGCTCAGGTTGCCCGCTCCGCCGCTCTGGTTATAGTAGCTGCCCGCCAGCTGCAGGGTGCTGTTGTAGAAGCTGCCATTCAGCAGATATATCGTGTCGTTCACATTGATATAGCCCGCCCCCGAACCCGTGGGGGACTGGTCGAGCAGGCCCGGCACTGTCAGCTGGCCGTCTACGGTTAGGAGCGGGGGATTGAGGCTGCCACTGTCCGGGTATCGCGTGCCATTGGGCGGGCCGCCAGTGGCTGTGGAGCTGGTCGTGAACACGGCCAGAAAGTCGTCGGTGCTGATGTTGCCCGTGTTGATGTTGGCATTCAGCCTGCTGTAGTCCATGGTGCTGCTGCTGCTGCTGCTCTCGGTTTGGTCTGTGGCCTCTGTGCGATCTGTTCCAGCCCAACTTTATGGTGTGGCTAACTCTAGGTGTGTGTGTATGGCTCTATAGTCTGATTGGTCCCATGCTGCCGTCCATCCGGCGCTCGTATTTATAATTAAATTTGCTTACGCGCGAAATTCCAATGGAAAATATTCTCGTATGTGGTGGTTGGTGGTCGGTGGTGGTCGGTGATCGGCTTTTTGCTCCGCTCCAACACCCAATTAACCCTAATAATTTATTTAATTCCTAGCATAGCATTAGCACTATTTCTTTGCGATTATTTCGATTTTTAATACCCGTTTTGCACCGAAACTCGTGTGTGGTGCGCGTTTGCCGCTCATCTGGATCTATGAGGCGGTGGAACGCGCGCGCGCTTTTCTTTTTGTTTTTGTTTTGGTTTAAGTTATGGTTTTGTGTTTCTTTTTAATCAATTATATAGTCTACAGCACATAAACAGTATATACAGTTACACAGATACGGGTACGAATACGATTACGGATACGGCTACGGACACAGACACAGATAAAGACATGGACACAGACACAGACACATGACAGAGACGAGTAGAAGAGGCTGGCTATGTACAAGAGGGGGCATCCTCGCTGAACTTCTTCTGCCACTGGCGGGACACGATCCCATCCACGATCCAATTGACTGGCTCCACTGCCCTTCGCTCTGCTCACATGGCGCTGGCTGCCGAGTCATCCGTCAGATACTCCCCCCGCCGCAATTTCTGGGCACCTCTGGGCAATGCTCTTAATTCAATAATTATTGTGCGGTAAATCGCATCGAAAGGCGAAATAAATCGTGCGGATCGCTGATGGATGAGGCAATGATGGATGATCCGTTTTTGGGGGCTGTTTTTCTTTCACTCGATTTTTTCTGATTTTTTCTGATTTTCCTGTTTTTTCGGTTTCTGTTTATTTACACACAGCGCGCGACCCGCGAGTTTCACTCTCTGTCAGGCGTGTTTTCCCGCTCGGTGCTGGCGCTGGCTATGAAGAACTGTTGCCGTGGCGGCTGCTTTGGTTGGCTCTTGGCTTTTTCGGCTACTTGGCCAATTGGCGCGCCCGGGACACGTTCGCACCGCTGGAACTGCACATCCTAACTGAACGGCATCCGCTGGCGCTGGCGCTGCCACTGCCGGACTTGCTACCAAAAATGGCATCCACATGGAGCAGCATGAGGGCCATGGGGGGCAACTGCCTTCGGTCGTTCGTCGCGTGTCGTCGTGCGCAGCGCTCTCCACTCGTTCCGCTGGGAAATTCTCTCATTGTTCTCTCTGTATGGCTGTGTTCTGAAGCCCCATTGTGGAGACTGTTGGTGTTTGAGATTCTCACTTATGCATTGCTCTGCTCTGCTCTGGTCTGCTTTGTTTACGTTTCCCATTTGTGAGTGTTGTACTCTGAATCGTTGTCCACAGATCGCTGCGTGGGGTAAATAGTGCACCTTTAATCAACAAAAGGTGCCACAATATTTGCTTTAATAATCGAAAATCCCATATCTCAAGGTAATCATAATAATCTCATCTCATAAACAGTCTGTTTATCGTCTCGATAGTAAGTTTTCAATGCAATTGCCTGACTAATTGGGCTTAAATTATGAACAAAAAGATAGGATCTGAGCCCAGTGCGCTTTCCGTTCCACGTTAAGAGTTTTATCCAAATTTTTCGAGGTATCCTATAAATTTATGTTGTATCTGTACCTTTTGTGGAAGTATTTTATATTCGCTTTGATGATTGATAACTAAAACGAGATGAACTTTTAAATAGTTTAAAAAAAAACCTTAGGAAAAACACAACTGAATAATAATAATTTATTAATAATATAATTATTATATTATCTAAGTATTAAAAATAGAATTATTATATAATTTAATTAATAATAATATAATTATTATATAATTTACCGTGGGCACCGTAACATTACGTTTGGTTCATCCCACAGCGCCAGTTCTGCTTACCAAAAGTGGCCCACTGGGCACATTATATCATAACCTTAAACTTCATATCAAGAAATAAAAATATAATTTAATTATTAGTAATTAAATTATATAATAATTATATTATTAATAATTAAATTATATAATAATATATTATTATTAATAATATAATTATTAATAATTATATTTATAAAATTATTTATTATTATTATTTTTTTTTTATTAATAATTCAATTTTAATAAATAATTAATATTACCATACCTTGCCTTCTATTTTAGTAGTCTCCGTTCTCGAGTGCCTTGAACTTTCAATTAGATTTCAATTTCATTTTTGGATGTCGAGTTCCACATTGGTTCTTCCGCTGCTCGTTTGTTGCCACTTCGCGACAGGTTCCACAAGTGCACGGCAAGTGGGAAATTTTCGCCTCTCCTCTCTCTTTCTCAGCGGGGACATTTTCTCTGTTCCATTTGCCACACGTTCCGCCCGCCGCACAGTGTTGCGCTCTGTTGTGCTTTGTTTGCCTCTGTCCCAGTGCCCTAAACCAAAAACCAAAACTTATTTTTGTGGCAGCACTTTTCACGTTTTTCATTTCGGTTGGATGGAGAGGGTGGGTGAGGGCGCTGGGCTCCCCCACTGGTGCCCGTTTCATATGTTTGTTGAGGACTGCTGCTGGCCAAGGCACTGGCACTGGCGCTGCGACCATGTGTGCGACGCTACCTTTTGTGTACATTTTCGTTTTAACCCACATACGGGCCTTTGTTTCCACGGTAAATGTTGGTCATGCTGGCCTTTAAACACTTCTCACGCCTGTTAAAGCCGACACAGCCCGGCGCAGCCCAGCCCGTCTCAATAAAAGCGTAATGAAGCTATCCATCCGCGAAAGGTGTGCGGGCGCATTGAAAACGAAAAGGCAGGCATCTTCGCCAAGGAGTTGGTTGCCTCATCGGATGGGGAAACAGCCAGGAGCCAAGAGCCAACAGGCTGCAAATACAACAGCCAACATATCGGGCACATTACGCGCGATAGTCACGTCTGTTGGGCACATAATTGAAAAGCGAACTTGAGCGTATCAATCGTACAGGTTGCTGTTGGTGTTGCCGTTGCCGTTGTTTCTGCTCATGGAGCAATGAAATCAGCTAGAAATTATGATAATGAAAAAGCGTAGCACACAAGCACCCAAAGTAGATGAGGGCAGATGCGGCAGTTGGCCTTCTCCCCCTTTTTTTGTTCATGTTGTTCATCAAGTGTAGCAACGGGTCGTATGAGTTATTTGATTATGTTAAGCATACGTCTTGGCGCTGCCGCGCATAATTTCAAATTACACGCAGCACACATCAGTTCAGCCTTCGCGAGAGCATCAACATAATAAATCCGAAAGGGGCCGTCGCCTGACAAACAAGCTAAGACGGACCCCGACATACAAGTACAGATACACACACACACACATACGCCTGCATAGTGGAGTGACAAATGCCGGAAACAGCAAGCGACAGCAGTAGAAACAGCAGCATGCGACAGCAGAAGAAGCAGAAGCATCAGCAACAGCAACAAAACAGCGGGCACTCATCGTCAATGCATGGCAGAAGATTGCTTGTCAGGCTCTGATTATATTAACTGCCTACGAAGGTGTGCCAGATTGCGGGCAGGCAGCTGCGCGTATGCACGGCCTGCCAGAGATGAGAAGAGGTGTGACTCCGCGAACGGAAAAGATAGACCAGACCCCGATATCGTCCGTGGGAGTCCCAGGGACACGACATATGCAGGGCCTGACGGTCTCAGCTTTACGATCCGCTTTGATGGCTGAGACTTAATTGTTTTCCAGTTTTTATTCTGCAATAAAAACTACTCGTATAATGAAAATAAAATGCAGCAAGTAGAAATTTCACCGTGCTGATCAAATCACGGCCATCACAAGTGATGCCCACACCCGCTAAGCATCTGCGACGAGTCCTGTGATTCAGCCGGGGTCCGCTTACACTTTCCGCTGCTTGGATTTGCCTCGCCATCTCGGTTGCCCGGGCAGTCACAGATAAGACGCAAATCTCGAATGCGCATACATTAAATTATACGAATATGCACATACATCACGAAGCGAGTGGCGCGGAGTGGAGTGGCGTGACGGGTAGACTGTTGCATGCTGCAAACTGGTGGTGCAGCAGCCCCAAGCACGCACTCCGGCCAGCGCTGCTAATGGGTGCCGCAACTCCGAATGAAATGGCACTGCATTCCTTCTTTCGTTGCAAGCCCTGCTAAATCTACTTTTAATTCGCTGCACGTTTTCCATAATGAAATCGGATTTGTGGGCGCACGAGAATTGGAAGTGCTGAATGGGTTGCGGCTGTCTGTGAGTGAAAAATAGAGCAAAGGACGCCGCCGCGTTGCATATTCAGTATACCCATAAATCGAGCACTCAGCACTCTCTGGACCAAAAAAAAAAAATATAACCGAAATGGGCCATGGCCGAAATTGTGGCAAACTGAACCAGAAAGGTACCAAAAAAAAAAAAAAATGTGTGCGCTTCCTGCTGCAGGACGGATAATGCCCCGTAATTCAGGAGCCGCTCCCAAATGCAACTCGCTAATGGCAGCAAATATATTATGTGCGCTTATCATTCGCATTAGCTGGCAAAATTGTTGCTAAAAGACTTTACAAGGAGGGATGGTGAATTGTAAATGGCAGCAGCAGCTTCTGGCAACGAGGCAGGAAATTGTGCTACTCATACGCACCGTGGCCCCGTCTGCTGCATTATCTTAATTTAAAAACTCGCTGGCATCATCTCCGTGGAGAGCAGCAAACAGTGAGTGTACAGGGAGGCAGGCAGGCGTGCAGGCAGACAGCTCGATGGCCGTGTTTTAGTTTCATTAGCCCGCCTGAAAGCACATTTATCAAGCTGTCAGCGCCAATTATTTATATCCCACTCGGAGCTGGGGAACAAGAGCAGTGAATATTATAGAAATATTATCAACAAGAGCGGACAACAATGGACAAGGGACAACAGTGTGGAAATAAGTGCGTTTGATCAATCCGCATTTGGCGTTAAATGAAATGGCAATCGGCCGGCGTTAAATGGGCTACAAAATAAAATTAATTGCCAGCCCTTCCATCCGGTCGACGCCTCTCGCATTTATTGCCAAACGATTTAAAGTTTTAATCTCTTGAAGCATTTCAATGATTCAATAGAATGGCCCGGCAGGGTAACATGTGCCGACAATGCCTACGGAGCACACAGAGTAGTCCCGTCCGTGATCCGACATGGCAGGCCGTGTTCTATGCGCCTCAGTTCGTTCGACACATTGAGAATCTGTAGCCAACAGGGGCACAGGAAATGCATAGCTGGCTAAGATTGTGTGTGGGCTCTGGATGGGGATGGGATGGGATGGCGATGGAACACAAATCTTTCACGTTTGAGGGCGCACGACAAGGCCAAAGTTTCTGGGTTTATTAAAGGAAACTTGTCATGCAATTTATGTGTCTAATTACTTGCACTTTTTGTGCTCGTTCATTTGGCCAACTCCGGACATCATTTATTATTTTTATGTACACAGAAAACGTTTTATTGACACGACAGCCAACAGCCGACAGCCGACCGTCGATTGGCTTCGCGTCTGGCCCTGAATTTTAGCTTGAGCTCGAACTAGAGTCAATAAGGCAGCGGCGACAACTCAAAGGACCTGCCAAAAAGGAAAAGCTGTCATTAATCTTTTGCCAGCCAAGTTGTGCAGCTAATTGCGCCATTTTCATAGGTCTAGCCTCCAGTCAGGGTCATTTGACTGCCACTCCAATCTTTCTCGCTTGCTCTCTCTCTTCTTCCCATCCTGCTGTTCATATTCCCTGGCCAATGACCCATTCCTGGTCAAATGACGGCTTGCAAACGGACCTGCAACCTTTTGGGCCTTGAATATTCATCTCAAAAATTTTGGAGCAAACCAACAAAGAGAGCAAATGGAAATTGCGGCGGGAAGAGGGCCCAGGTAGAATAATCGGGATTATTTACGTGGCTCGGCTGAAATTTGCTTACATATTACACTTTTTCAACATTCCTTTAATTAGCTTCTGCGCCGACAACAAAACAAAAAGTTACAAACAAAAGCAGATCGGCAGAATGGTGGAACGAAAAAAAGTTGGTTCTGGCATGATAGTCAGGCGGTGCT